GCCAGAATTTATAAATAAAGCAAAGACTAATTTTAACAGATAGGGAATCCACGTGGCTACTAGTTCTACGTAATCTGTATCTCAGTAAGAATATATTGACAATTAAAATCAGATGGACGAGGACTGCCTTCCTTTTTGTGCTCTGATATGTTCTCATAGACATAAAAGGAAATTAAACAGGCAGTCCCACGATCCAGGGGACAACATAAAGACTGCTTGCATGAAGAATGACTACTGAAATAAAAAAAGAAAACAATTTAATTAATCAAAAAGAATCCTAAATCAGAATTTGTTTCTAGTGTGCAGTTTTGGTATATATTCTATATTGTGGGGAAAAACTGAAGATGCATCTAATTACTTTTCACCCTCTTTCCCAGCCAAAACACAACTGCAGTCTACAAAAACATCAAAAATATTACCAGAGCAGCTGAATCTTAACACAGGCCACCTCTGCCACCAAAGTGGCTTATATGAATGAGCCTAAATGCACTTCAGGTTTGTTCATACCAATCATTTGAACTGCTCACATAAACCTGGGTGTTTTGCAGCAGCTCTGCTGCAGGAGATGTTAACTCCCAGCACAAAGCCAAAATCAAAGAGATGGCAAGCTGTTGTGTTTTAAATTGCCATAGTCACTAGTTAAATTAACATCTGCCTACAGTCTTAACTTTGTTGTTTTCTATTTGACCTACATTCCATTATCTGCCAGAAAAAAAACCCTTGCTCTCAAAAATCATGGGAAATTGTTCATGATGCTTTTGATAAACTTTGAATAAACAGTCCTAAGACAAGTCTGTTAAACCAAAATATACTACTTCTTTAACCTTGCAACCACTGGGTTGTTCTGGGAACAGAATTTGAATCTTCAGTAGAATTTAAGAATATCGTGAGCTCTCAGTTATATTCTTTAGGAAGATATGTCTGTAAGATTAAGGTATCTCTTGAGTCCACAGAAGGAAAAATAAATTCCTAAAAAGAAAAGTAAAAGAGATTAAAAGCTACAAGAAAATGACCTTTAACCAAACAAAAAACTTTGGTAGAAAATTCTCACTTATGGTCATCAGCTGTTACTCAGTTAGATCCTTTCACAGTTGAAAAACATTGGCTTTGGGTTTTGTGATTGCTTAACTACTTTAAAGTTTTAAGTATTATACAGAGCACTCTAGGGATCTATAAAAGTCCCATCTGGGAAGCAACTTTGTTTATAAACAAAATGCAGTTCTCAATTTTGATCTAGTTCAATATTTCTGCCAATTAGTTAAGCTCCATCAGCATCTTACAGTATAAATTTACTTAGTGGCCCTTCTAGGGGTGAAGACTTGGAAAAACTCAGTTTTGAAAGTTTGACTTACTTATCCCAAGGAAGTTAAGAGGCACAAAACAAAAAAAGGCTGTGGCATACTACTTTGAGTTCCTGAAGAAAAAACCAGAGATCTGAAAAATTGGTGTGAATGGACATTCCCTGAGATAACAGGAAGAAAGACCAGTCCTCAATTACAAGACTCCTCCAGGTAGGAGAAGCATACAGAGAAATGGGTCTTTTAGTCTCCAAACAGATTGCTAGTAGCCCAGCAGCAGAACATCAGACCGGTAACAAAATCAGAAGGATAAAGGAGCATCTCAAGATTACAGAAATCTCATCCAAAGGTGGATGAAGATATAGAAGGGACGAAGGAATGAATGTCTCAGGACAAAGATGTTTGAAAAACCTGGATACCTCACGTTACTGTCTGAACTTTCTTTTCTTTGACATTCAGCATTACTAGAAATTTCTGCCCTTCTTGATATCAATCAGTTCTAATAATATTTTAGACTTTCAATGCAGCACAACAGTCATAAATTATAACAATACTTGATATGCATTTAAACATTTCAAGGCAATTCATAAGATGTCATCTACCAACGATAATTATTATTAATTTTACAGATACAGAATAATTTGTCCAACCCAAAGTCATGCAGCAGATAGCAGAGTTCATTGTAAACTGAACAAGCAGTGTGGAGGTAATGTGGCTTCACAGTAACAAGGATTTAGGAACTCTATTGTATTTCTGAAGTCCCTCAAAAGAGGTTGGTATAGCTTTCCTCATTTTGACAGTTGCAGCCATACAGGAGAACAAGGTTCTGTAAATACATGATTTTAAACTGATAGAAAAAATAAATAGGATCCTATCAACCAAATTAAAAAAAAAATTACAATTTTACTCACAAATTACAGAATCATAGAGCCACAGAATGGTCAGGGTTGGAAGGGACCTTTGGAGATCATCTAGTCCAACACCCCTGCCAGAGCAGGGTCACCTACAGCAGGTTGCACAGGACAACATCCAGGTGCGTTTTGAATGTCTCCAGAGTCTGAGACTCCACAACCTCTCTGGGCAGCCTGTTCCAGTGCTCTGCCACCCTCAAAGTAAAGAAGTTCCTCCTCGTGTTAAGATGGAACTTCCTGTATTCAAGTTTGTGCCGTTACCTCTTGTTCTATCACTGGGCACCACTGAAATAAGACTGTTCCCATCCACCTGGCACCCTCCCTTCAAGTATTTGTAAGTATTGATAAGATCCCCCTCAATCTTCTTTTCTCTAGACTAAAAAGACCCAAGTCCCTCAGCCTTTCCTCATAAGAAAGATGCTCCAATACCCTAATAATTTTTGTAGCCCTTTGCTGGATCCTCTCCAGCAGTTCCCTGTCCTTCTTGAAGTAGGGAGCCCAGAACTGGACACAGTACTCCAGATGAGGCCTCACCAGGGCAGAGTAGAGGGGAAGGATGACCTCCCTCGACCTGATGGCCACACTCTTCTTGATGCAGCCCAGGATGCCATTGGCTTTCTTGGCCACCAGGGCACATTGCTGGCTCATGGTCATCCTGTTGTCCACCAGGACTCCCAGGTCCCTTTCCACAGAACTGCTCTCCAGGAGGTCAGCCCCCAACCTGTACTGGTGCATGGGGTTATTCCTCCCCAGGTGCAGTACCCTATACTCGCCCTTGTTGAATTTCATTAGGTTTCTCTCCACCCAACTCTCCAGCCTGTCCAGGTCACGCTGTATGGTAGCACAGCCTTCTGGCGTGTCAGCCACTCCTCCCCATTTTGTGTCAACAGCAAACTTGCTGATGGTACACTCTATCCATTCATCCAGGTCATTGATGAATATATTGAACAGGACTGGACCCAGTACTGACCCCTGAGGAACATCACTTGTTACTGACCTCCAACTAGACTCTGCACCACTGACCACAACACTCTGAGCTCTATCTGTCAGCCACTGTTCAAACCATCCCACTGTCCATTCCTCTAACCCACCCATTAAATTCATACATTTCATCTAATGTTACAAACATTTCAGTTTTGATGCATTTTTAACAAAACCAAAGTGATACCAATGTCTCACACTCAAGCTGCAGTCCATGGAGAGATCTTTCACCTCATTGCTGGGGAACTTTCATGATCTGAAAGGGAGAGATACACAGTTTTGCCACATAACTAAAAGCACTATGGCAGGTTCTGGGATGTTAATTTAGAATTTGGAAAAGGTAGATTTAAAACCCATTTCCCAAGAAAGTCCCTAGACCATTGTGCTATGCAGGAATCTGAAGGAATTCTTGTAGCACGTTGGATGAGTATGGTTTTTTTACCAAGCCTCCCTCCTGTACTATCAATGTAAGCCTGTGGTCCTATAAAAGCTAGTAACATTCCAGAGATCATGAACTTACAGAGTATGTGTGTGACTAATGTGTGTTTAACGTTTAATCTGTATTATGAGCAATTTCAAATAGGGTTTATAAATTTAATATTTAATTTTATAAATTGTTCAGATTGGACCAATTAAACAAGAACTGGTGTAAAAATTCTTCATTCATGCAAGTTATTTGGTTCTTGACTGAGCTATGAATGCACAAAGACGTGTCCCTATAGCCTTGTTTTGAGGCACAAGGAAAATGACATAGATCATTAAAACTGCATAGGCACCACGTGAGAATAGCAAAGGTGGCTGTGGAATAAAAACGAGGAAGTACACAGCAATTGTCACCTAGGGCTGAAGTATTCCGTTTGGTTTGATTAGTCATGCAAAGTACATGATTAACTCTTAAAGCTGACAGAAGGCACAATGAAAAGAAAAGCAGGAATCAAAAAATCAGGAACACAGAAAAGAATACCCCAAACTAATGGCCCCATGGGAGCTCCCTCCCTAGCTCCCTGTCTTGCTTTAGATTTAGAATTCAGGGCATTATTCAAAACACCAGGATTTGCTTTGGGTTTTCTGGACAATCAATCCAACAGCTAGGATTCCACACATCAAAGGGGGGATGTCTTCAGTTCTCTTCCCTTCACTTAAAAAGATTCAATAAGAAGCACTCAGAATCAGGTAAAAGTGAATTTTAACTGTGATATCACATACAAATCATGAATATTCCAGATAACTATTCTGAGCAGTGCTAGTAAAATAGGAAGAAGAAAGTGTTGCTCATCCTTCTTAGTTTGTGACTTTTACCCTGAAAAATGTTTGGAACCAAAACTACATGTGTGTCTGAACATACTTTGGGATTTAAGTAATTTTAATGAATACATGTATTCAGTTAAAAAAGTTTTAGGAAGAAGGGGTCTCAGTATCAGTGAAGCTATTGCTGTGATAAACCTCAAACTGGGAAAGGGACTGTTTTTCACCTTTTCCACCTGCTGTGGTAGAACTATAGCCTAGTTTTGAAAAGCAGTTTTAGAACACTCTAATGTTAAGAAACAGATGTTAGAAGACTATTACAATGCAGAGCTAAGTGTTTTTTTTCCCCAAAAAAAGAAAATCCATGTACAGCAAGGAATGAAATTAAACTGCATAAGTCCACACATGCATTTCATCATTTTGCTCACGTACACTAGTTCTGAGTCAGGAATACTCACTGAAATGTGCTACTCTTGCAAGCACTACCTACTTTGCTCTGCTATTAATCACTCGTGATGCAAGCACTCCCACCCATTTCTGAGAACAGTGTAGGCAGTCTGATAACTCACAGGCTTCAAGCTGCCCTTATAAAGTTGTTCCACTTTTGCATACTTCCTCATACTGCGAGTTTCTCTGCGAAGATGAAGCTGCTCGTTTACTTAGTCTTGCTGAAGACAGCTCTCCTTGCTTTAACAAATGTCTTTGCAGTTGTTTTAGAACATGAAGAGGAGGCTAAAGAAGGAAAAGTTACTGACACTTGTCCTATAAAGCTCAAAACTAATCGGAAATGTGATGAAGGAGAGGATTGTCCATATCAGATAAATCTGCCTCCGATGACCATGCAGTTACCCAAAGAATTCAGACTGCTTGAGAAGACTCTCAAAGAAGTACAGACCCTTAAAGAAGCAGTAAACAAGCTGAAGAAATGCTGCCAAGATTGCAAGCTGCAGGCAGATGACAACCAAGAAAGAGACAGTAGTAATGAATTCCTGCTACCTAATACAGAAACTCCAGCAGAAAACAGCAAAATCCAAGATAACAGAGTAAAGGAACTGCAAAGCAAAGTTAACAGAATGGCAACCAGCCTAAAAAATGCAAAGAACCAGATTCAGACACTGCAGGGTCGTTTAGAGAAGATGAGCCTCATAAATATGAACAACGTAGAACATTATGTGGACAGGAAAGTTGCTAATTTGACATTTGTTGTGAACAGCCTTGATAACAAATGTTCTTCTAAATGTCCAGCAATGCAGCCAAGACCTGGTATGTAACCTGTTAATTCTTACTCCCTGTATAAGCTTTCTGTGCATTTTACAAATATTAGGTAAACAATTTTAAATATATTTTAACTAAATAGCTGTGCTATTAACTCCACAAGTTAAGTATTTGCTCTTTTAGTGTTTATTTATACTCCTGTAAAACATTTCAGCTGCCACTAGAGGGTTACTGAGAGCTGCAGGTGTTCAGTTCCTCCTAGAATTGGACTTTATTATGGGATTTAAAACATTCTCAAAGCACTTTTTTTTTTTTTTGCAATGCAATTAATAAACATGAAAAATTAACTTATTATTTTACACCCTACTATCCTTCATTAAGGATATTAGACATCAGTGAACTACACTCCTTGGATGACAAGGGGTACATATTCTCAAGGTGTGCTTTAGAAAACTTTATGGATTTCTCTCAACATGAAATTGCAACTGTTCTGAAATGGTCTGCAAGTCATTATTAAACATCAAGTGAATCTAGTAAAACTGTTAAACAGATGGATAATAAAAGAATATTCCTACCATCACAATGAATATCTGAAAGCCTTGGATAAAAAAGTTTGTTAACAGTAGTTCTCAAGAGGGTAATGTATGTACTATCATTTTAATACCAAAGCATGTATCTATCTTAGCATGTATCTAATATCTAATAGAAAATAGAAAACAGGTGTTATCACTGAAAAACACTTTTTTTCTATTACTTTTTAATTGTCCTAATTAAAATTAAGAAATACAACCAATAATTTCTTTCTAATGTTGACAGTTATTAAAGGAAGATTTTTTTTTTAGGTCAAAGTTTTTATACCATATATAAGAATGTTTGAAAATAAGAAATAGTCACAGGACTGTGTACCAGTCAGATATCATACCTGTGAAGACAGGTCTCTCTAGAGATAAAGCAAAGAAAGATCAGACTACTTTAAGAGTTGTTAAGCCTCTGTTACTTAGCATTCAAGTTTAAAACAAAACTGTTCTTCTGTCCATCTATATTGAATATTGAAGGATCTGCAGATGGTATAGTGTATGTACAGCTGAAATTCTTGAAAGTGTGAAAAGAGCAAATGAATAATAATAAAGGTAATGCTTTTACTATATCAACAATCAGCTTAGATCGAATATAAATCAGTATAAATAAATTACTTTAATTCTGATATAAAACATTCACAAAAAGAATGAGTGATATTTGGTATATTGATAATTTGCACTAAATCAAATTCAAGTACAGCACTTCATAACAGACTAAATTAATTTTAGATATTTCTCACACTTACTTAAATGTTGGGTACTGTTCATAGCATATGATTATGTAGATATTCCTTATATTTTACAGTAACTGATGCTACAAGTGTTTGTAGCAGCAATACATTCATTATGAAAACTAGCAAAGATAACAGCTACAACTGTTTCCTGTACAGGAGCTATTCCTGCTTCCACTGAAAGCAATTGCAAAACTTTACCTAAACAGGAGTCGAATTGGATTATAAATGCATTTTAGCTGAAATGTATATTCTCTGTCAATATCTGCTGTGAAACTTAGTCCATCTTACGCAAAGTTCAGTGAAATAAATAAGAATCTATTGTGGATTTAGATTTTACTTTTAAGCCTTCAATTCCTATACTTTGTGCTTTCATAGATGTCCACTTTTCTCTACTGGCAAACAAGAAGTCCTGAGTTCTCCTAACTGAGAACACTCCTCCCTTTCAAGAAGTAGTTTAATTGTTTAATTTTTTCTAGGAAAATTATCATGCAATTCAAGCCTGCAAATGAACATCCCCATAAATTCAAATCTGCAATAGGAACATTATGTTTTTGACTCTTAACTCAGAACTTCTAAGGCCTGTCTGTCACTTACTTAAGTACATGGAATTATAATACCATGCTGTTGAATACAATGTCATTACTGGATGACAGTGTGGATCAAAAATGGATTTTCACTGCAGGAAAAACCTGGGGGTATTTTTCTTCTGAATAAGGTAGATCACCCAGTGGTGGGAAAAAGCTGTGTTAATGATAGATGCTAAAACTTTTCCTTACTGCAAAGCCAGCAATGCCACATACACAGGAAAGCACCATCACTTTTCTAGCTTCACCTTTCTAGGAATCACAGTATTACTACAACAGATGAGGCAATTTTATTCCTTTTTTCCCACTTCCTAAAGTAAAGTCAACATTACCACATGAAACATTCCTAATTATGTTATGTTCTGTATCAAATGATATCATCTGAACAATAGTCAAGTTAAAGTCATTCCCATATGGACAAAGATTTTTTTTCTCTGACATACTGCCAGATGAAGATTTAAATTATAGACAGGGTGTGATGGTACACATTTAAATACAAAAAGCAGCAAGCATGTAAACACGAAGTACTAGAAATATGGACAGAAGAAATCAGGCTGAATTTACAGGAGGCAATGAAAGGATAAAGAGAAGGGCAGAGAAAAAGAGAAAAGGGAAAGCAGACAATCAAAATGCTCCTATGTTAGGCAGTTTTGATACAGAAAATCATTAAATGTTTTTTGGTTTTTTTTTTTTGACAGCTGTCTGACGCAGAGATCCTAGGTAGCATCTATTATAGAGTAAACTTGATGGAAAAAACCTGTTTCTCCCTAGAACTGAAATTGCTGTAACACTATTTCCTATGTAGAAGTCTCTCCAATCCAAGTTCTGTATGCCACATCAGTGTGGGTAAAAATTTTGTTTATTTTTAAATGGAAAATATGTTTATTCTAACACTATCTGTTCTTCCACCAGTTATACAGATAATGCAGAGAGACTGTGCTGATCATTACACAGCAGGCCGAAGGAGTAACGGAATCTACAGGATTAGCCCTGACCCCAGAAATGATAGCTTTGAAGTTTACTGTGACATGCAAACACATGGAGGTGGCTGGACAGTGCTGCAACGGCGTCAGGATGGTAGCACTAACTTTAACAGAACCTGGAATGACTACAAAAATGGCTTTGGAAACCTCAGCAGGGAGTTTTGGCTGGGGAATGACAAAATTCACCTCCTGACAAAGAGCCAGGAAATGCAACTGAGAATTGAACTTGAAGATTTCAATGGTATCAGAGAGTACGCGAAATACGAACACTTCTATGTGGCCAACGAATACCTAAAGTACCGTCTAAGTGTCCATGGCTACAGTGGCACAGCAGGAGATGCCCTTCACTACAGCAAGCATTACAACCATGATCAGAAGTTCTTTACAACTCCAGACATGGACAATGATAGGTATCCATCAGGAAACTGTGGAGCATATTACAGCTCTGGCTGGTGGTTTGATGCATGCTTGTCTGCCAACCTCAATGGCAAGTACTACCACAAGAAATACAAAGGTGTTCGCAATGGCATTTTCTGGGGCACATGGCATGGTATTTCTGATGATATTCACAATGGATATAGGCAAGCCCTCAAATCAGTAAAAATCATGATCAGACCCAAAAGTTTTGTGCGGTAATTCTACACCTTTCTCCTAACCAGTTTGCATTGGATTGCACTCAAAATCATACTTACTCAGTATTATACTCAGAATTCAAGTATTCAGTTATGTTTGGCATAAATAGTTCTAGACAAAACAGCATACTTCCACATAAATTTTTAGAGATGGTTTGACCCATATAATGTATTAAAAACAGCATGAATGTTTTTGAATAGTTATTGTTTAAACTTAGCATAGGTTGAGTCTTGGTATCGTTATGTAAATATTCTAAACATTGCTTTTGGTGCTTTCACTGACTGTGATATACCACAGTTTATGACTGAAAATTTTTAAATAGTTTTCTACAAATTGTGTCTGAATGAACACCTACATTTTAACCTGAAAATAACTCAGAGGTATAACTGATAACATAAATTTGTCAACACTTAGAATGAAAATTAGTCTCTTTGAAACAGCCTGACTTTTTGTATCATCTGTCCTTCACCACTTTAAAGGTACTCCATGTCAATATAAATATAAATTAGGAAAAGTACTACAAATTATTATTTTTAAAGGACTAGGAAACAGAGGGTCATGTGGTATGCCCAATGACACAAAAAAAGGCTTGAAGAAAACTTAGAAAATCAAGATGATTTCTCAAATCTTACCTGCTTTATCAAAGAATATTCAAAGAAGTTGGTGAAAGAATTGGATAAAAGCAAGTGGAAATAATGTAGAAAGTATGTAATATAAGACAACGTTTCTTGCTCATTTTGGTTCTTCCATTCAAGCTCAAGGTCCTATTTGTTTTTTGGGGGAGAAAGGAGACATTATCTAGTTTATTGCACATTTATATGGGCAGGTAGACAGGCAGGAAGAAGACAAGTCAAGAAGAATCCATGTCTTTGCATTAATGTCTCTAAATACATACAAAAAGAGTTTCCAGAAAGATTTTGCTTTCTCCTGAATCTTTCAGGTAAGCCAAATAGTACAACGTGACTCTCATAGAGACTCAAGCTCTCATTTAAATACTTTTCACTCTAGGTACCATTAGACCTTAAAGAAAGTTATAAATATTTTGTAAGATACAAAAAGATTGTGTTCTCCCCATTTTCTGAGTACCCCTTTTCTAGCCACAGAAACATGAACAACCCACTGGCAATTATAAACAGAAAAAAGATAATGTGAAAGACTTTTTTCTTCTAAAATATTAGAATTGAAACAATCAAATTTTCAAATACTTCAGAAAGTGCAAAGTAGAGATACTATTTTTAAAGTTCATGTTGTAGATAGTGAGCACAAGTTTGACTACATGTATCTATTGCCTACCCTAGAAAAGACATCTATCTATAATTACAGGGACTAACACTCTGAGTGGAGATGCTATGTATCTTAGCAAGAGGCTATTTTGCTATATTGCTTATGCCAATCATGAGATGCAGATAAACTATGCTAACACTGTATTTCTTTACCAGTTAAAGTGTGGTCTTTGCTGGCACAGGCGTTTTGGTTAAAAGAGACATACCAAAAAAAAAAGTACACCTGACCTACTACCTTACCAATATGACCCTTACTGGTTTTTTAGATGATAACAAGAACTATTATGGTTACAAGCTATGCAAATGAGAACAGTGACAATTGCTAAATTGTACAAAAATTAATATATATATTTTTAAGGAAGTAAATACTTTGAAGGATATTTCAGTGTGAAGTGTAATTTGGTTTATTATATTTCAGTTTTAAAGAGTAATGGAAAATTTTAATTGCAAGATGTATAATCTTTGCTTGAGAACATGTTTTGAAGCTATAGAATATTTATTTTGGGATAAAAAAAGGATTGCCTAAACAAAAGAAAAAAACCCAAACTTATGAAGTATTGGTTAGAAGAGCAAATATCTAATTGCATATGATTATATTTAATCATTTTGCATTAAATGCACAATTTGCTCCTATTCATTATATGGTAACTAGCTAAGTATGACTTACAGTATCTACAAGCTTCTACTTGAAAATGTCTTTTTCCTGCTAAGTTGTTAAAAGAGAAACTGTCCTTTTTTATCCTGCTAAGTTGTTAGAAGAGAAACTGTCCTATTTTCATCCTGTTTAAAGGAAACTTTGTAAAAGCCAGAAATTTTAACAGAATAAGCAAATGTGACTAATATCACCCACAAAACTTTGTCTGATGTCCTAAAAGAAAAAAAAAGGCAAAAAGGAAAAGAAAGTGTAATGTTGTTACACAAATCTGAATATTGCCTGCCTAGAACTGTTGTAGCTCAATCTTCATCAATGTGTACAAGTTTTACAAAGTGTAACTCCATCTACTTGTTGCAAGCATTATTTTTGTTTTTCCTTAGTGTAATAAAATTATTTCACACTGTTAAAGCTGTCATACTGTCATAGATGTTTATGGGGACTATAAAAAAAATCTCATAAATTGTTTCACTGGTTTTGTGTAAAAATTGAAGTAATAAGAAAACACAGATAACTTCAGATGACCAACAAAGACAACTATGTCACATGCCAGGGGAGTAATTGATAGTAACAATAGTTCTTAATTTATGACACTTCAGCTGCCAGATAATACCAAAGGCTGAAACCTCAGACATCTTTTTGAAACTATTCCTATTTTGGAAGAGAAAAAAGTAATTGCACAATTAAGAGTTTACACAACCTGTATCTTTAACATGAAAGAGGAGAAGCAAATTCATCTGTTTTTTATATAACACACAACCTTTCAGATCAAATGCAAGTGTTACCAAAGCATGTGAATAGAAAAAAATACCCCAAATTAAAGCATACATTTTTTTATACAATCAAAAGCACTTGATCTCTGCTTAAGGCTTAATAATTCAAAACATGCCTTGAAATTTATGGAAAACATCTATCTGACATTGATTATCATATGAAAACATTTGTGGTTTTACCTTGCTAATATTTCAACAGTGAATTTTAGTGAAGAAGATTACTAACAGCGCGTTTGCTAGCAAAATTCCTATAGACTGTTTCCAAAAAATAAAGGCATAAACCCATCTGTTCAATGTGATTCGCCAAGCAGACTGTAATGTCTTGGCTTGCTATGCATTGCTTAAACCAAACAAAAAAAAAATCAGAAAAAAACAGAGATTAAATTAAAAGAAGGTCTGAAAGTCTTGATCTTACTTTTTTTGGTGCAAACATCTGTTTTCTAAATGATGTTTTTTGGGAAACACTGCGATCAAACTCTGAGAGTGAGTTGCGAACAACAGGTAGTTTTCCACTATAGTGGAAAATAAACTTGTATTTATGTGATTATTTTCAAAGGAAATTAAGATGGTTCTCAATCCATACCTAGAACACTGTGTTTATAACTTAAAGCAAAATCAAACAAAAAAAGTGCCAAATTTACTTGCTTCTGTGACTTATATGTCATACAAAAATTAAAACGGGAAGGATGCGACTGCAGGTTTTCACAGACAAAATAGACGAGATAACAACTAAATAGGGGCCTACCAAGAAAGAGATTTGAAATAGATCTTTATAAATGTATTTTGTGTTCTTTTTTTTTTTTCAGGAGATAAAAGAAAAATAACATGGTATATATGGGCCTGAAGACTTTGACATAAGTTGCAAAGAAAAATGGCTGAGCAATACCATCCACAGGCCCTGCTAAATGCAAACATTCAACTTACTAAACTGATTTTCATTCATAGCTTTAATGAAACTTTTATGGAGTTATACTACTTCTGCCAGAAGTGAATTTGGCCATCACCCTCAATGGTAACCAGAAACAGAAAACAATGTTTTAAGATGACGTGTCAAATCCAGCCCTCACACAGGTCATGAGAACAGGGTATGAATCAATATTATTTTTTAAGTCCTTGTTCATAATTTTTTCTGATTTCAATAAGAAAAGAATCCGTTTGCAAAATAATCAATAACTGGAAAAAATATCCCAGATTACCTAATTATGTTCATATAATCAAGACAAACTGTAAGTCTAATTAATATTACACTTCTACTGAAATAGTATGCCAATACTTGGAATTACAAAGAAGAAAATAGTAAGTATGTTTTACACTTACTTTTAAGCAATTACATGGAGTCAATTATTTATATGGAGGAGTAGAATCCACTCTGAGAAACAGAAATTCTCATTTCTTTCTTCAGACAGAACATAAAAGCCCCTCTGCTTACCTCTGCAGCTCAACCTCTATGCACTAAACCCAAAGATAAGGATTCTTTCTCATGCAAATCTTTAAGGCTCTGTTCATTAAGGAGCATCTGGACACAGGTTTTTTTGAATAAGGAAACCAGAAATCACCTTCTAAACATTTAAAATAACCTAATCTGTGATTCTCCACCACTGGTCATTTTTATCGAATGTATGTTTGGTAAACATCGCTCTGGCTTCCTCTCCATGTCGTCCTGCTGACATGAATGAACATCATAAGCCAAGGCTTATGTTTTGGAATACCAGATCTCAAATACATATTTTGGGTGAGAAAAGGGGAAGAGGGAGACAGCTTTGGATCATAAGACAGCAATATGCTTGTCTTTTTAAGTCTCACAGTCTCAGAAATTGTTGAGAAAAGTCCAAAATGCAAGAAGATGCTGCATTTAAAGGTTATTCCTTATTCCGTCTCCTGGTCTCGCAGCTTTGGGGAGCTGTGGTTCCTCTGTGCGGCATGAAATCTGCACTTGACTTTATAACAGCATAGAGAAACAAGACATCATAAATGCTTTCAAATATACTTTTCAGAAATGAACAGAAATACCACCTGCTTTGTGATAATATGAACACACATAACAGCTTTCTGACCTTGTTTCCTCACAATGTCACCTGCAAGCAGTAAGAGGAAGAAAGAGCGTGTTATCCTGACTCTGTTCCTACTCCTGCCATTTAAAGGCATCTGTAAACTCACCGCACTCCTCTATAGCTTTTTATAGGAGTTGCCACCAATTGGAACAATCAACTTACCTATCCCAACCACTGATCAGTTTAACGTTCACTATGAAAACTATTGCTTGCTTGCTGAAAGCTGTTGCAAAAAAAACCCAGACTCTAGCTTACAGACACATTATCATCCCTAGCTGACTCCCCAAGTGACCATATCAACAAAGTTAAAAAAGGTTTATTTAATTAGCAGTCAGATTCCTATGGGTGGAGGTGAAGGCAACATGCGCCTTTGCTGTCTGTGCCAACATACTTATACAGCTTTTTTGTTGTGCCAGGAGCCTTTGGAGCACGTAATGTCGAGTGTGCCAGGATCAGCTTAAGTTTGAAAATGTTTGCATTCAACAGCTGTGTTAAGATTTTTACATCTTCTTTGATAGAGCACATACGTGTTTG